GTGAGTTGACTGTGAACTTGTACTAAAGCGTGCTCTGCTGGCGATTCCTAGGGTGTGCAGATTTATCTTCTCTGCATTTACTTAACCCGGCAGTGAACTGCGCGGGCGTCATTTGTTAGGCGATGACAGACTTCACCTCCAGCAAGGGCTGCTTCACAAAATCGCAATAATTACCTAATAACCTTCATAACAAATATTATTATTGAAAAGACCAGTTTGTGGGGAGGGGGTCTGGTGGGAGAAGGACAAATTCCTTTGTGAAAAACAAACTAAACAAACCTGGGCAGATCTTCCAGTCCTGGGGCTTAGAATAGCTAGAATTGTTGATCTCCCTGCATATATGAGTGGGAGCCTAGGCTGACCCCCTCAGCCCTGCCTGGGAACCCCTTTTACAGTTTTGGCATTGACTAGAAGGAAATTCCCCCCTTAGAAGCAAAAGGGATGGAGCCCATAATGCTCTGCACTCTCCATGGTGGGCGAGCCATGGACAGACCTCCAGCCAAGGCAAGAGAGACACTGAGAAGGATGTCTTTTAAGCTAAAAGGATTGTTTTCCTCTTTAATAGCCCATCTTTCAGAATGTGATTTGCTCTCCCCTTACTGTTTGGATATAATGCTCTTCAAATCACAACGAACAAACATGACTCTGTTTCTGGTAGGAAATTTTGTCTTGCTCTTCAAGAGCCACCAACAAAGAAGCAGGGGAAAGAGCAGGAGAAAAGGAATCTTGGCATAATGTTGTGAAATTAGACCATGGAAACTCTAACAAACCCCTAAGTAAGTGTGACCAGAAGCTTCCTATTATATTTATAGTTCAGGAAATATTGTCTCTTCAGCTTATGGAAACAAACGAGCCTCTGCACATTTCCGCCTCCTTCTCCTTTTACAAGGAGCACAGATACACACTCCTGCCACCGGCTGAGGCTGGATGTCTTCATAAAGCTCTCAGTGACAGAGATTTTTTTCTAAGTTCCTCTGCGAAAACAACCTCAAAGAATGCACGAGAACAAATAACTTATCTACTAAATGAGCAGATAACCAGCCATCCTCTTTACTATGCTGCTTATGAAAATAGGAAGAAAGAAAAAATCCTTCCAATAATGCTCACGTAAGTCTGACTGGGTGTTGTATTTTTAAAGTCATTTAACTCCATGTGGGTTAGCCTGCTCTCTTAAATTCTACTTAAGTTTTATGAAGACTAAAACAGACAAGTAAGCAAGCTGACAATATTTATAGCGTGTAATTTGTTTTTAATTTGTGGGAAAGATTCTCCGTGTTGTTTGATGACTCCAACAACCATTTTTCCCATTCCTACACCCCCAAGGTGGGATATGGCCACAAATATGGTGTGGGGGCTTCCTCTATACAAGTTACTGAAAGGAACCTGCCTGCATTCCTAGCGCTCTTTTTCTCTTCTGCTAATTTCAGTCACCAAAAATTCACTCAAGTCAGATCACCAAATGAGAAACTAAAATAGGATCATAACTCAATATTTTCCAGTAAAGAACCCACAGCTCAGAGCAGTAAAACAAAGAATCCAGAATTCTCACAGACACATAAAAAAATGCAAGAGAACTTACTCCCATGCAGAGTTTACATCCTGGTCCCCACTAAGACACACCTTTCTAAGTACTGAAATACCAGTGTTGGTTCACTTTAATAGGTTGCACATAATGACTTCAGGGATTTTTCACCTTGCCACTATTCATGAGAGGCAGGACTTGTAGGAGGATTTCAATTTTTCAAAAACAAACAAACAAAAACAACAGAAAACTTCCCAGGTTTTGCTTTTTGAACCTCTAACTTTTTGAACATCTGTTGGACTTATGTTGAATGTAGGTGGCATCGGCACAGTAAAGTTTGTTGAAATTCCAAATCTATACTATAAAAAGTTTTACTTTCAGCACTTAGTAAATATCTTTACCAATTAACGTCTGCAGGCAACTATCTAGCTCCTAAGGAGAAAAGCAGATGCCGTTTTTTTGTTTCACTTCTGAATGCAGTTGGAGAATTTGGCTCAATGCCTCAGATGTGACTGGAGGAAATCTGCTAGGTCCCTTGCCAGTACCCAACCAGAAAGGACAGGCCACAGCATTCCTGTTCACTTGGTTTGGCTTTGCCATTGAAGAAGGTGGGGGTTTGGGGCCAGAAGGGATGGCTGGGGCCAAGATGAAATCTTACGAAGTAAAAATTTATTTCACCTTACTTCGCCCACCGGTGCAATTTTGGAGAATGTTTTGGAAATCACAGATTATGTAAATTTCCTGGGATCAAAAAGAAAGAGCAACTAACAAAAGAAAGGCGGAAATCTCCTACTGACAAACGACCAATTTCTTCCCTAAACTACCATTTATGATGTGTCAGGAAAAACAACCTAATGGCACTGGGGACTTTAAAGTTGGTCATTGAAGACACCTCAATTTCCCCCCAAACTTTAGGGCACAGTTTGAAACAGAAAATTTGCCTGTATGTTGAGGGGGAGTAAATTTCTATAATCTTTAGTGTTATCAAGGGGAGTGCCTAAGTTGCCTTTTGAGGGTCCTGTGCTTAGACTTTTTAATTCTACAAAGAAGGAAAGGAAAAGGAAAGTAGAGAGGGAGAAGAAAGGCAAGGCGGAAGAAAAGAAAGCACTTTAACCCCTTTCAATTAGCCTGGGGATTCAAAGACTAAAGTTAAATCCGGCCATAAAGTTTATTGCTCCAGACTCACATGCGGGTGAGAACAGTCCCACCAAAATAAAAAGAACGCTCAGGCAAACTAGGTTCAGGGCCTGGTCCTGGGTGCGGGGTGGGGTGATGATGTGCTGAGCACCTCCCCAGTTGGGGACCTGCGGTCCCGAGCGTCTTGTGGGTGCTAGCAACAAGGGCTCGGCCCTGCAACCCAGGGGCCCAGCCTGGAGGTGCAGCCCGCGCCTCGCCGGCCTCTGCCACCTCCTGCTCTGGCGAGCCAGCCTGAAACCCGGCCACGAAGGCCGTCGCCTCAATTCAGTCCTGCCAAATGACCCCGGCCCGCGAAGACATATTGCCACAGCTCCGTAAGGACTCCCGCCGGGGTCCGCCTCGGCCCTGCCCCAGCCTTTCTTTCAAACTCTCCCGAGTGCAGTACAGCCCTCGGCGCCCGCAGCCAGCGCCTCACTGTCTCCCAGCCCCCACCCCAGGGCTCCGCGCCCCCCGAAGAGCTGGGACCGGCCGGACCCAGAATGGGGGGGAGGGGGCTGCCAAGCTTCTACACACAGGCCCACTCGCACACAAAAATCATCTTTTTGCACGCCGGCGGGAACAGCGGAAGTCATTAACATCCGCAGTGGCGCAGCAATTAAGTTAGGCCTGGGGATGCGGCGCGGCCACAGGCGCTGTTCACCCAGCCGCCTCCGCTAAGCTGGCTCCGGGCGCAGCTAATTTGGGCAGAGGAAGAGTTTGCTCTCCCTTTTGGAATCCAGAGGCAGCCTCAGAGTTATTGAACCAGAGAGAAAGAGAAAGAGCAAGAAAGAAAGTTTTTAGAGTACAAATAAACTTAAAAGCGCTCAGGAGGCAAGCTTACCTTAACTCAGAGGGAGCCATTTTTCAGAGTTTTGAGAACTTGTGGTTTGGACACTTCTGGACCTAAAATTGACAATTTGAATGACCAGGCGGCACACGTAGCCTGCAAAAGAGTCAAATGGAGTCCAGCGTCAGTGAGATTATATGTTATGTGGTATATAATGTTGGATGTCAACTCCCCAAAACCATAAAACTTACTTTAATGGCCCCACGTGACGTTTTATAGCCAGTGAGCCGATCTGTCTGTGCTATGGATGATTTTACGATCTAATTCATAGACAAAACCCTATTCATTTGGCACCCAAATGTCATATAGCCGGAACTGGGGCTTATAAAGTTTACTGTTTTATAACTTTTAAAAGGAAAGACGGCATCAGTGTAAGCAGCCGGTAAATGTGCATATCTCTAGTTGCGCTTTAGCGGCTCTGAGGAGTTTCCCAATCGAGCTAGGATGGGGTAAGTACCTTCCATTTGTAGCAAATTAATTGTAGCAAAAGAAGCCAACTGGGTTCAGGTTGAGGAGTGGGGAAGGGGTGCTTGGGTGAGTTAGGGGCAGAGGGTGTGGGATCCACAACCTGGCATAGCAGCCTCTTCAGCAATGAAGGCCTAGGACAGCCTTAGGAAAGAGGCAGAATCTGTGTGGCCCCTGAGGGTGGATAACAAAGCCCTGGGCTTTTTCTCCTTCTTTCTCTTCTTTTCGTATCCAGCAAGTTAACTTAATTTCCTCAGAGATGGGCAGGGTGGACTTGGGCTTTGGAACTGCTTATAACTTTTTCCACCTTCTGCCCTAAACTTTCTGTTGGGTCAGAGTTAGGAAGGTGGTGGGTCAGGGGTTGGTCTGAAGTCTCCATGCACAGGCAGGCTGCTCAGGTAGCCTCAGACTCACCAGCTTCCAGGACTGGACAGACAGACAGAAAAGCAGAAACAGCCGCTCACTATTTGGCACAAACCAGACCAAAAGAACTTACAATAGAAAGTTTATTTTTTTGTTTCCAGTCAGTATTTTTCCCGTAAAAACAAATACCAAAAAAAAAAAAAAAAAAAAAAAAAAGCTGATCACAGTTTGCTTAAACAGCCAGACTTGAACAATATTTGTAACTTTGTTCACAAAAACATACATCACTGAAGCTGCGCTTATAAGAGCCACTTCCAGAGTTCGTGCAAAGGGTCCTACAAAGGCACGCAGGGACACACCGCTTGGAGTCACAGTTTTCGTCACAGAGTCACTAGTCACACTACACGTCAAACAAGTTAAGTTGTGTCTCATCGAGTCACCTCTACAACAGCATTAATTACACAAGGAATATAGGTAGTTTGAATAAAAATATCTTTAACAGCTTGGAGCTATTGAGACAGGAACACTTCCACACACATGCACAGTTAAACAACTCTAGTGCAACACACAACATTGGCACTAAACGAGGTTGAAGGGAGACTTTTTGTGTGTTTTTTTTCTCTTTTCTTTTTTGTTATAGTTACTTCAAGTAACACAGCTTGTTTCATATAAATAAGTTAAAACATCTATTTTTTTTTTCAAGACAAAGCCATTCAGGACAAAGAGATGAACAGAAAGCAGATCTACTTATACAGGCGCTATAATGGCAATAAACAGGCTCATGATTAAAAGATGGATTAGGGCAACGAGAACAGGGCTTCTTCACAGAAGGAACACAAGGGAGTTTTAGAAAGTCACCTTAGTACTGACACTACGCGGGATCCGCTAATACCGCTCAGTACTTTAAACGCTCAATACTCAGGGGCGGAAGGCCCCTCCCGCCGCCGCCATGCTCATGCTTTTCAGCTTATTATCCTTTTTCCACTTCATTCTCCGGTTTTGGAACCAGATTTTGATTTGTCTCTCAGAGAGGCAAAGAGCATGTGCTATTTCAATCCTTCTTCGGCGCGTCAGGTAGCGGTTGAAGTGGAACTCCTTCTCCAGCTCCAGGGTCTGATAGCGCGTGTAGGCCGTGCGGGCCCTTTTGCCTTCCGGGCCGCCTATGTTGTCTGCAACAGAAAAGTCAGCGATTTAGCCACCAACTCCTGAGCCCCTGGCTTCCGAAATCCGCCAGCCGGATAAGCCAGGGTCCTGTGCGGGGAACCAGGGTGAAAGGCTCAACAAGTCCTCCCTCCTTGCCCACCCACTTCTTTCGAATTTCCTTCCCTCTTCCTTTCTAGGGAGAAAACAATACAATCTGGACTCTGGGAACAGTCAGCCCATCTGAGTCCTGGAGGACCGCCCGGCTTTCCCTCTGCCCTCTGGCCCTGCCCTGGGCGCCCTGAGCTGGGAGCACAGCCGTCCCAGGCTGCCCACCTCCCAGAAACCCACCGAAGCACGGTCCTTTTCTGAGCGCCCAAGTGGCCTCCAGGTCGCTCTCCCTTAAAGTTCCAACCCCGCGAGCCGCCTCCTGTTCCAGTCACGCTTGGGGCGCCTGCTATCTTTTTCTTCTCTTTCCTTCTTTCTTCCTCCTGCCCCCAAACTTCAGAATCCCGCCGACTCTCGCCTCGATTATTCCCCCCAAACCCCTTTTCGGGGGCTCTAATTAGTAATGCTGTTTCCCCAGCGTAGCCCTTCTCATAAATTATCCGCGCTGACAAGCCCGATTCAGGGCCCCTACTGCCATCCTCTACCTCTCTGCGCCCTGCTCGGCTGTCCCGACCCGGAGCGCGTTCCGAGGCGCTGGGGTTCGGAATGGGTTTTTCCTTCCTCCTCTTTTCAACGTCTAAACTTGCCTAGCCAGCGGCCGGTTCCCCCACTATTTGCGGGCACAGGGTGCTGCAGAAAAGAAAAGGAGGAAGGCAGGGGAAGGAGAAAGGCAGGGAGAGGATTCGCAGGGCTAGGAGAGGCGAGACCAGGAGAGAGATGGGGAGAGAGGGCGGAAAAGGAGATGGGGGGACCGAAAGGCGCGCCCTCCGGCCGCGTGGATTTAGAAAAAGGCTGCTTTACCATGACTTATGTGCAGCTTGCGCATCCAGGGGTAGATCTGGGGTTGGGCGGGCGGCGCCGGGCTCGGCTCGCTCTGCGCGCTCGCCTGCTCGCTGCTGGCGGGGGCGTCCTCCTCGGCTCCGGACGCCGTGCCAACCCCCTCTCTGCTGCTGATGTGGGTGCTGCCGGCGTTGGCCGAGGCGCCGCTGGAGTTGCCCAGGGAGTTTTTCCCGCTGTGGTGGCTGTCGCTGCCAGGAGAGGGGGCCACGGCAGAGCAGGGCAGCGGGTCGGGCGGAGGCGAGTGCGTGGACGTGGCCGGCTGGCTGTACCTGGGCTCGGCAGGCGCTGCGCTGGCGCCGGCCGCGTAGCTGCGGGCGCGCTCCCCGGAGCCAAAGTGGCCAGAGCCCGAGCGGCCGACGCTGAGATCCATGCCATTGTAGCCGTAGCCGTACCTGCCGGAGTGCATGCTCGCCGAGTCCCTGAATTGCTCGCTCACGGAACTATGATCTCCATAATTATGCAACTGGTAGTCCGGGCCATTTGGATAGCGACCGCAAAATGAGTTTACAAAATAAGAGCTCATTTGTTTTTTGATATGTGTGCTTGATTTGTGGCTCGCGGTCGTTTGTGCGTCTATAGCACCCTTGCACAATTTATGATGAATTATGGAAATGACTGGGACATGTACTTGGTTCCCTCCTACGTAGGCACCCAAATATGGGGTACGACTTCGAATCACGTGCTTTTGTTGTCCAGTCGTAAATCCTGCCTGATGACCTCTAGAGGTAAACTCGTGCACTAATGGGGGAGTTGGGTGGAGGCAAGAGGGGTGGCGCGCGCGCCCCGGGCGCGTGCCCGCCGCCCGCCGCCGTCGTTCAGTCGGACTCGAGCGCCACCCGCTGGAGGCAGGACGCATCGCCCCGTTTCCGACCCCGGGCTGCAAGGGCCGGGGTCGAACTGAGGTTACAGCCCATTATGGCAAAATTATTGCATTTCCCTCGCAGTTCCATTAGGATGTACCAATTGTGAGGCCGTCAGCTTCCTATCGCGCGCCCGGCGAGGATGCAGAGGATTGGGGGGAGGTGGTGACTTGGATTTTATTTACAACAACTTTATTTCCCCCACTTTGCAGCCCCACTGATTTTTGTGTCGAGGTTAGGGTCGGTTCTGCCCATCCTGCCAGCAGCTCTGAATTTAGAAGACACGGATATCACCTTTGGGGAAGTGGGGTGGGGTGGAGGCCATTTAGCCAATTGGAGAAATAAATCCTGCCCGTAGCAGCAGCTACAATTACGGCTCTGTTTTTGCGAGTGCATGAGGGACAGTGTCCCTGCCGCTCTTAAATGACAGGCGTCTATTAAAGATAGCTTTTGTGTAGTGTTTCTCCGAAGCGAGGTCAAATTCCAAACACTCTTATAAACGGAGTCGATTTTTCTTTCGAGCAAATATGGTTTTCGTGTCATTAGTTTGCTACTTGGTTTGCTTACATATTCCGCATGGAAAATCTTTACCATCAGATCCCGTTCCCAGAGCCAGCCGGGACCCAAGTCGGAGGGTTCTCGGTGATCCCAGAGACTGGGCCCAGACTTTCCACAGCCACAGAAGATGTTTGGAGGCTGGGGATCTGTAGGCAGAGCTATTGGGGTCTTGCTTAGACTTCCAAGAGTAAAATCAGGACCACAATGGAAGCATTTCTTGGCAGTGTCTAGTATCTCCGTAGTTCTTTTCCTGGGCTCTGAAAGACGAAAGTAAACCACAAATATAGCTGAGAGGCAAGGGGAGTCTGCCCGCCGGAGGCCCGGCGTCGCAGGCGCCCCTGGCACGTTTGGAAGCCAGGACTCTTGCCCTCCGCATGGCCCTGGGCCCCCTCCTTGGGTCCTGAAAGCTGCTGCATTGGCGGCGCCGGCTCTATCCCGAGGCGGGGAGCCGGAATCCGGAGCCGGGAGGCTTGGGAGCAGTGACTGCCGGGGCTGTGATGTTCCACCCACGCCCAGGTTGCCTCGGCTCGGCTGCGGCTGCTTCTCTTCTGCTAATGGTTGCACGCGGGGCCGAGGGACTCGGCTCTGTCGGGGCCCCCTTTGTTCCTCGAGCTTCTTCCTGTCTGGTCGGCCTGGGAGACCGCGACAGGAGTGGGGCGCCAACCCTTAGGCCCCTCTTTCCAGTAGCCAGAGAGGATTTGGCAATGCCCTTCGAGACTTGGTGGCCAGGGACCAAGGCAGAGACGCCCACAGGCCAAACGGGGTTCGGCCCTGGACTCTTTCCTCCCCTGCAACCACGCATCCGGAGCTCGGAGAGCGCAGAGGCCCTCGCACAGGAGCCCAGGACAAATTCGAGGCGCGCCCTTGAACCCCAGAGCTGGTTTGGGCAGGCTTGGGGAGTGGGACTGTGTGTACAGTGCGCCCGGCTCCACCGCTGGGATTGGCTTTGTGTGGGGTTTATTTTGTTGTTGTTGTTACTGGGTTTTTTGTTTGTTTGTTTTGTTTTTGTAAGAAATAAATTCTCAGGCGCTTGCAAAGCTCCGGGCTCCCCTGAAGCTGCGGAAGCCCCCGATGGGAGCAGGCAGGGAGAAAAGTTGAAGAGCAGGCCAGGGCAAGGGGGCACATCGGAAGGAAGTAGCAGCGCTGGCCTGGTCCCTGCCAGGGCGTCTATTCGCCCGCCTTTGCCTCAGAGTCCTCCCCGCTGGGCTGCGTGGAATTGATGAGTTTATTCTCTTTCTTCCACTTCATGCGGCGGTTCTGGAACCAGATCTTGATCTGGCGCTCGGTGAGGCAGAGCGCGTGGGCGATCTCGATGCGGCGGCGCCGCGTCAGGTAGCGGTTGAAGTGGAACTCCTTCTCCAGCTCCAGGGTCTGGTAGCGCGTGTAGGTCTGGCGGCCTCGGCGCCCGTGGCTCCCGTACGCAGCACCTGCAGGCGGAAATGGCCGGGCGCCGGTTAGCGAGGCTCCGGACGCCCACCCGGTCAGCCCCCTGCCTCCTGCCGGGGGTTCCTGGGCCAGAAACCACCCGCCTCCTCTCCAACCTCTCCCATTATGTCTGGGGTCGAAAGCGGGCTGGATGACAGAAGGTTATTTCATACCAAGTGAGATGTTTCCCACTTAAAACGACTTGGAATGGGAAGTTACTGTTTTTGAAAAATCTGCCTTGTAAGAAAACCATTACAGGTGAAATAATAGAAAGGGCATTCTTAATTTGGGACACTCAAGTCGTGTTTGTGTGAGGGTGAGTGATGTGGAACCCTGGAGCAGGGTAGACACTCTGAATTCACACACTGGTCTCTGTGAGGATACTACCGTGGCCAGCCATGTCAGAACTCAACACAATTTTTTTTTTTTTGAAAGCTAAAAATGGTCTGCACTCTCAAATCTTTGCAAGTTCTCCCAAACTATATGACCCTGCTGAGAAAAACAGAGCTCCCTGGGGGGTTGGGGAGTGGATTTTAAAGCAAAACACTATAAGTTTAAAAATGTGCATTAGGCTCAGTCCTGCACCAAAGGGAAAGGAGATTCCCTGTGGAGTCTTTGGAAACCAGGGGCAAAGAAATAGAGATATAGGCGGTCTGAGGTTTCTGGCAATGTAGGACTGTGTTGGGCTGTCCTGGTGCCAAAGGTTCCTATGGGTGATGGGGGTCCTCCCAAGCCAGGTGTGTGTGTGTGAGGCTCAGGCAGAGGCTCAGAAGAAGGCAGAAGTTGGCCAAGAGTGAGCTCAGTGGGAGGTGGAGGAGGGGAGGGAGGAGAGAGGGAAAACCCGAGGCTGGGGATGGGGCCCTTCAAGGCTTTGGGAAGACACTGGAAGAGGCCAAATGTGGGCCTCTCTCTGTATGAGTTCCTGAAGGGCAGAAAGGAGAAGGGTTGGGAGGTGGAGGGGAGTTAGAGGGCCTGCAGAAGGCCCTCTCGGCTAGGGAATCTGAGCAGGGTGGTACTAGACTGCAGGATGGACAGGATCTCCTCCCAACCAGTGTCTCTCTCTTCAGGTTGCCCCTGTCATGGGTCTCACGTAGCGTAGCAGTGATTCCCCCCCTCCCCTAAGGGTGACACCTTAAATGAACATGAGTGCCCTGCCTTTCCTCCACCATGGCCTGATTGCCCCACTGGGAATTTTTTTTTTTTTTTATCTCTTTTAAAAAGCCAAAGAAACATTGTTCATTCTTTCCTTCTCTCTCTCTCTCTATTCCTTTTTCTACTTCCTCTTGCTTCCTCTGTCTCCTTCTCCTTCCTTCCTTCTTTGCCTGCCTCCTTTCCCCTCTCCCTCCACTGCTTGGGGTGTGCGGGGGTGCAGGGAAATGCCTTACCCGCGCAGGAGTTCATCCGCTGCATCCAAGGGTAAACAGGGCTCGTGTACTTCCGGTCGGTGCCTTCGTCATGGAGGGCTTTGCCCTGCACGCTGCTGCTGTCGGGTTTGTACTGCTGCTCGGGAGAAAAGTGCAGGTAGTCCCCAGGGCCCCTCTGCTTGCCACTGCCCGAGGGCGAGGCGCCACTGAGGTCCTTATCAGAATAGAAACACGAGGCCCCGTACTCGTAGGACGCTCGGTTGCAGGCCAGGACCGAGTTGGACTGTTGGTAGAAACAAGGTGAGGTGTACGTCTTGTCCGGGAGGCTCGACGCCCCGTAAGAGGCCGGGAAGGGCCTCAGCGCGTCATAGCCGGCCTGGTAGAGGGGCAGCTGGCCCAAGAAGGAGTCTTGGCCGCTGGGCAGGCTCCCGGGGAAAGTGGGATTCACAAAATAGGAACTCATTTGCGCGCCCCTCTGCAGGACTGTGATTTGTTGTGTATTAGTACATCTGGCTATAACTATTAGTAGTCATCGAACTGGTTTGTTTCTGGATGGCCGAACGCCAAAAGCGACAGCAGCAAATCGCACCAGCTGACGCAGCGGCGGCCAATGGGAAGGAGCGCCGGAGCCCGCTCCCCGGGGACCACGGCGACCGAGGCAGCAAAGTTACAAACAGCCCCCAGCCCGCCCGCCTGCCGCCCGCCCGGTAGATTGATGGGCGCGCACAGCCAGCCGGCCAGGCTCTCTTCCTGAACGCCAGCGGCGGGCACGGCCCGGGCAGGGGTGCGCAGATCAGGCCGGGGTAGAGGCACTAGTGCCCCGGCCGCTGCAAAGGCCCTGCCAGGCCCGCTCTTTCCTCCTCCGCTTTTTGCCTTGTTGGATTTTATGGGTTCTCCCACCCCCTCCAAACAGGAAACCTGACAGCCCAGCTCCAGGAGGGGCGGTGACAAGGATGGCCTGCGCTCCAGGCATGGCCCGGAGTTGCCCCTCCCCTTGCGCTCCCCTACTCGTGGGTGCGGGTTCTTGAGCTGGAGACAGAGCTCTGAGAAACTAGGCCTTCACTCCCTGCTCTTTAGTCCTGCGTCTTAGGAATCGGCGCACCTCCGTATTCTCTCCTTCTCTATTCCCACCAGGCGCCTGAGCCTTGCAGCCAAAAGCTGAAGGTTCACCTCGAGCGACCAGGACACGGCCAAACATAGGGTGTTCCCGCCGGTCCCCTCTTCCCACATACGACATGTCTTGTTTCAGTCCCGAAGGGCTCGCATGCAATGGCTGCGCCTGCCTGGTCTCAAAGCATCCCCTCCAGCTGGGCGCCCCAGTCCGTCCGGCGTCCCGCCTTTGAACCCAGGGAATCAAGAGCCCTGAAACTACTAGTTTCAAGAAGAAAGCACCTCCAGAAATGCAGCTGTGAGACTGGGATCCGAAGCCGGACCTGGGACCTATTCCCCTCGCCCACTGCCGCCAGAACTGCTCGGAACCGAGACCCAAAAATCCAGATGTGAAATTTCTCCATCCTCATTCCAGAGGCACAGGAGACACAGGGCCCCTGGTGGAGCCGGGCGCAGAGGGCAGCTCGGCGGAGCCCAGGACCGCGGGATAATTGATGGGCTTGGTTTCCGGGGAGCCCGACAGCCGGCACTGTCCTGGGGCGCGCCCTCTTTCCTGCCCTTTCTGGGACTGTTCCGGGGGCTGCTGCCCACAGTCGCTCCAGAACCGGGAATCGTTGTCACACCGGCTCCAGAAATCCTGAATTGCTTTTACCGCCGTCCCAGACCCGGCCGTCCCCAGATAGGACATGAAAAGCCTATTCTGGGCTGGATCTCTCTTGCCTGAGAGGTGTGCCTTCTAGATAGTTGACTTTTACAGCACACGGATCAATCTCGTTTTGTAAAATGTGATACCGGTCCAATGGCATTTTTACGACTGTGTTTGTTGGGCTTGTAAACCCCCTTGAATTAGCTTTAAAATCCTCAATTCCATGGAGGTTGAAGAAAGACTATGCGATTTGGATGGATTTCTGGAGACTGTAAGATTTGTAAAACCCTGGCTAACGCAGGCTCATGGGGTTCACGACTTGGGGGCCAGGTGGCAACTGGCAGTGCTCCCGTAGGAATCTGGTAACGACATCCTTAATCTCTTCCTTGCTTTTTGAATTTTTTCTCAACCTCCCTTAACCCAAAAGGAAGAAATTGGGAAGCAACTGGCCTAAGATTGGCTTCCACAGAGTCCCTTGAAGGTGGCTGCTGCCCATTGACGGGGGCTATGCCGGGGAAGCCTTGTCCCTGAACCCCAATCAATCCAGCCCAGGAAAGTTTTTCCTTTGCATATAAAAGAAGGGCCTCCCAGGAGAAAATAGAATTTCACATTTCCCTCACATTTCTTCAGGGAAAGGGTTCAATAGCTAAAAAGGAAAACACGAGTCAAAAAATAAAAAGGGAATTTTTTAAAAAGCTGTGTGCTAATAAAATCATGTTTGAATTATTCTTTCTTAAAATAATCAGAGGACTGATTTCAAGCAAAATATTATTTAACATAAAAATAACTGTTTTGTAGATTTTGATAAATGTTTACATTTACTATTTCTCTTTCATTCTTTCATGTCCCACACAGTGTTGGGGCTGGTGTCAGTTTATTATTATTATTTCTTATGCTTTGATCTGGATTCTCAATCTAATAATTGTCCCAGCCAATGACATAATTTGATATCTCTGCTAAGAGCCAGAAAACATATTTCTAGCTTCAGTAGGTACTAAAATGTAAAAATATATTAAATTAAAATCTTTGCATGTTAGTCAAGGCTGGTGTTTGTCATTCTGGCAACCAACCAATTTATTTCTCCAACATATATACACATACGAGAGAGAGAGAGAGAGAGAGAGAGAGAGAGAGAGAGAGAGAGAGAGAGAGAGAGAGAGACTGAGACTAACCAATCAATTCAGGCAGGAATAGGAGCCCCAGACCCTCCATAAAGCCTGTCCTGGAATGGTGACAATGGTCACCCCTGGCCTCTCTCTTCTCTTTCAAAGCTACACAGAAAACTGACTTACCTTTCAGCTTCTCTCCAAGTGGGGCAGGACGGTGAGCAGGCCTCCCACAGTCCGCCCTTGCCCTGGGCTGCCCATTGAGCTCCTCAACCTCCACCAGTCTGGAGGGTGGCCTGGGCATGTGGGGGAAGGGGACCTCGAAGTCCACCTTGGTCCAGCCAGATTGCTAGCCCAAGCCAGAGCCCAAAGCACACAGGTGCAGCCTCTGCCCATCATAGGCCCTCTCCTGGAGCCAAAGCCTGCCTTCCTTGCCATAGCCAATCCTCCTCAGGGCCAGGCCGGCCTGCAGGCCTCAGGACTACAAGTGGTCTCTCCGATTCTAGAATCCCAAAGCCAGTGCGTTACCCGAAACAGCGTGCTCCCCCAGGGCGCCTTGGGACGCGCAGCTTGGACAGCAGCAGCCATGATGTGCCAGGCGGCCTGTGCAACCAATCTCCATGGTGCGAGGGTGGGAGTGGGGGGAGGACCTGAGTCTGTTCCAGCATCCAGCTCCTGTCAGGGGTGGCCTAGATGGGGATACTTCCCGGCTGGCCAGATAGGCCCTAGGATACTGTCCTCCCCCCCCCGCCCGTCTTTTCTCGTCCCCCTCTCCCCTGCCTGCTGGGGAATCTCTGAGGGGCCCGTACAGCAGTCGCGCCAGGCTGCAAGAGGCGGGCTGCGGCTGGCGCCGGTCCCGGCGACGACCACAGCGTGGCAGCAGCGAGCGCACGGTACGGTCGCAATAAATAATCTGCCCACGGCAGCCTCAGTCAGGCAGCCAGCTGCCCTAGGATGCAAATGCACCGCTTTATCCGTCCCGATCGCACCCACGCCGCGAGTGAACGTCCCAAACATCCACAACCCCTTAATTATCTCATGCATACCAAGATATTAAATTGATGGGGGAACAACAACCCTAAACCAAAACAAACAGAAAGAACTCAAGCCCAGAACCTTGGGATCACTTCTTGTCGCTGTCCCGGGAGCTGCCAGGGTAAATCTGCCCAATGCACACCTAGGCCGAGCCACGGTTCGTGCCACCGAGCTATGCAAAGCCGCGGCCGGCAGCACTCTCTGCGCCTTCTCCCGGGCGGCTCCACAGTCCTCTCCCCTCTCGGGGGTAGGGAGCACGGTCACCAGCCCGCTGTGCCGAAGTGGGTTGGGGGGTCCCTTATTGCCCGGACTCAGTTTGCGTCCTTCCTTCAACCTTATCTGCGGGCCCATGCCATCCGCACTAACACCACAAAGTCCTCTGCACCGAAACTTCTCGCCAAGCAATATCCAGCCATTTAATCCCATCTTCTCCTCCAACACAGAATTCCACCCACGCACCTATTCCCCTCCCAGCGCTTCAAACACCTCTGTCGTCGGAAAACCGCGCGAACGGAAGCAGGCAGTCAGCGGAGAACTCTGGATGAATTAGTAAGTTTTTCTTTGCCCCCCTGCCCCTTTCTCTCTGAAACCATTTCCCACAGAATAGAGGTGCTGTGTAGATGCTAATAAAATGCCTGTGGATTAATTCACATTGCCCTCTCCTCTTTCCACCTTCCCAGGTCGGGAACTGCCTTCTGTTGTTGGGGGGATTTAATTGAATCCGTTGGGCCATCAATGAAAATACAAAAATCCAAACCCGAGAGGCTGAAGGAAAACGCAGAGTGCGGGGTGACTTCCTTTTGGGCTTTGCAGGGTCGCTGGGGAAGGGGCAGAGAAGAGCCAAGCGCTGCTGCACCGTGCCAGGGCGCTGTGTCACGGAGGGAAGGCGGGCACTTACTGCCATGGTGAGCGAGGGAGGGGAGAGAGGGAGGTGTGTGTGTGTGTGTGTGTGTGTGTGTGTATGCGTGTGTGTGTGTTTGTGTGTGTGCTGTAGTGTGTGATGGGGGCGAGTGTGAATAGGGAGTATGGGTGAGGGTGAGTATGCCCCTCTTCGAAGCCGCCCTGGGTGCCCTCTCCCACCGCCACCAGCGCCGGCTGCCACCTCATCACCTTTGCTCCTGTCTCCTCCTCACATGTCTCACCTTCAGATGGCGGTTCCCAGAAGCTCTTGTCCCTCTGACAGCTGTCGCTTGGGCAGCCCAGGAGACGAATTGTCCTTTTCTCTGGTGCCAGAGGACGAAGGAAATTAGCCAGGTTGCGAGTTGCAAAGCGGCCGCCACGGCGCCTGGAACTGGGCGCGCCCCACCTCCAGAGGGAGCGGCCCGGTCTGGCCTGGCCAGGGCTTCCCCTCGCTCGCCATCGCCGGACAAAGCGCAGCCGAGGCGGGCTGGAAGGCAGAGCTCCGAAGCAGGCAGGACGGAGCGGAGCAAAAGAATGCGGCTCTATTCTCGCAAGGGAAATTATAAAAAAGTTCATGTTCACGGTTCCCATTCACATGACCGACAGCGGCCAATGGAAGGGCCGAACAACTCATAAAGTTGTATTGCAAAGTTGTAAATTTTCATAAACAACAACGGATTTATGACCCTTTCCCCATCACTAAGAGGAGGCAGCTCTTACACCGGCGCCATCTTACCACGGAGGCCGCCCGGAGTTGGGGCTGCAGGTTTTGCAGATCATTTCAGCCCCGTTTTATTAAAAGCCATAAGAAGCGGAGCCAACCCAGGCAGGAGTCTGGAGTTCAGGTCTTCGCCGGCCAAGCTCAAGAAGCTGTGGGCTGTCCCCACCGCCCCTCGCCCCTCTCCCTTTCCTCAGCCCCCGGTCCTTCCCTGCACTGAGCCGCCTCTGCAGAGACTGCGCAGCCCGGGTCTGCGGCCCATATCCTCCCCGCACACCTCTGCTGCAGTGCTGGGTCCTGGGGAGCCTCGCCTGAAGGAGGGGTAGGGGGCAGTGGCAGAGGTCCTGAATCCCGTTTCCTAGCCTGGGTCGGGTTCAAAGCGCATACAGATTTCAGGATAAGTTGCAGGGTAATACCCTTGTCCAAACCCACTCCACAGCCTTAGAGGAAAGGGCGAATTTGGAATTTGCTCACGGAATTTATGGAGGTTCATAGAACCTAATGTATCTGTCGAAGATTCCGTTTGCATGGGATCTAGAAGATGCTTGTGCACATACAAAAACCAGACAAAAGTCTCTACACAGAGAAAGGCACATATGCAATTATGGACGTAGGGGAATATATACATTCAATTATGGACACAGAAATGCATACACCCAATTATGGATACAGAAATATGCACAATTATGAAAGTATGTAAAAATACACACAAACATAGACAGAAATACATACATACAAAAATAGGCACATACATACCCGTACAAATTCACACATAAAAATACATAAGAAGAGATGTGACATGCATGTACACCAATACATGCATGTACACCGACACCAGGACCTGAGGTCAGTCCCTCCATTTTTGCTTTTCCATTGCCTCCTTGGGCACACAGACACAGCCAGGGCTTGTCCTCCAGCCATGCTCACCTCGTCTTCCCCAGGCCACTCTGGATAAAGCAGTGCACACTTTTTTTTGTCACCAACCATCTTTATTTTTCTGTTACATAAAACACGGTTAACTGGGCTGGGAAATGTGCTTTCCCTGAACCCCAGGCTGGAACTGAGGGGGACACAGGACAACACAAGGTGATGAAGAGCATTGGGGAGGGCACTGGACCTCCCCACCCACTACAGAGTTAGACAACACACCATGCTACAAAGTCACTCCATTAACACATCCTTCCCGAGTCAAGACATTGCGCTACAAATGAGCTCCAAGACTACAGATATGAAAAAAAAAAAAAATCTTGTTCAAATATACAGTATTTTCTATTGTAGGAAAAGTCAGGGTGTACATATTTGACATGGCTGAACAATAGGATACAGAGGCCAGGGGAGAGGACAGCAAGGCTGAGAGCATCTCCACAGTCCCACTAAGCAGAAGCTAACCCAGAGGTTTGCAGCCAGCTCAGGAATGCTCCCCTCCAGGAGTGAGGGGTGATGTGCCTGAACTGGGGGTGCCCAAGCCAGAGAAGGAGGGATTCTAGGTTGCAGCACTTACAATGCTTTGGAATAAATATATTATTTTTCAATTTAAATAGAAGCCAGTGCCCTGGTCCCAGGACCCCAGCGTCTTCTCAGCAAAGCCTCAGGGACCCCAAAGGCTGCAAGCAGAAGCAGCAGGGGCCTGACTGGGGAGGGGTGGGCAGTAGGTAGCAGGCAAGCCAGCCAGCACAAAATAGGTAGTTTGGGGCAAATAGGTAGTACTGAGAGTCATGTTCTTGTGGGTATGGCAAGTGGTGCTGGGTGTCTGCCAGTGTTGGGATAAGTCCAGGCTTCCTGGGAATGGAGGCCCGCTGGGGCTGGGCCCATAGGTAGTTTGGGGTGCCTCCCACCGAGGCCTGTGCTAGGTAGTATTTTGGCTGCGCCAGCGCGGAGGCCGGCTGGCTGGGGGTTGGGGTGTCTGTTGGTGTCCTCGGAGGCAAAGGGGATCCCCAAGGCGACCCAGTCTCAGAGGCCACTCAGTCCAGAAAAGTTGGGAGCTGGAGTGGGTGGTGGAGTGGGTGATGGGGTGGGTGGGGTGCGGGTTGAGAACTGTTTTTTTTTTTTTTTTTTTTACATTTTATTTTTATTTCCCCCAATTTTTGTAAATAAAACCAGTGAGTCTCTTAAAGAAGCTTTTGTGACTGTCCGGTACAGCCAGGGCTCCGGCTCGGCCCCTCATTCCTCTTCCTCCTCCTCCTCCTCTTCGTCTTCATCCTCCTCGTCGGCCTTGGCGGCGACGGCAGCGGCTGCAGCGACAGGCACGGCGCCCTCGGGGGCTGAGGCGGCGGCCGGACTCTCGTCCTTATGCTCTTTCTTCCACTTCATGCGGCGGTTCTGGAACCAGATCTTGATCTGGCGCTCGGTGAGGCAGAGCGCGTGGGCGATCTCGATGCGGCGGCGCCGCGTCAGGTAGCGGTTGAAGTGGAACTCCTTCTCCAGCTCCAGGGTCTGATAGCGCGTGTAGGTCTGGCGGCCTCGCTTCCTGTCGGGTCCTGAGAGCAGACGGACATGCGGACAGACAGACAAGCAGACAGGGACGCCGACAGGACAGTGCGTTAGCCAGGCTGCTGTCCCAGAGCCTGCACCTTCCTCCCCTCCCGGAGCCAGGAGCACGTCCCCCTCCGCCCCACGCCTGGAACTGCGCTGGGGAGGAGGGGAGTGTTAGCGGAGGACCCCAAGTGCGGTGCCAGACAGGCAGGCTGCTCTCTACGGAGCGAAGGCACAGAATCCCAATTTTACAACCTCCCTTTCCAGCCGGCTACGCTTCCACAATGTCCTGTTTCCCCCGACAAAGGGAAATTGTAAATATAGAGAGTGGGCAAGTGGGAGACGCTGCACTTTTGCCATTCAGAGGCGAGCCGGACTGCTTCCCCGCCTTTCCAGGGAGTGGGCGACCCTCCCCAGCAGCCTGCGCCCCCATGCCCAGGACTTTCCTAGGGCATTCCGACCCTCTGTCCCAGTTCCTTCCCGGCCGACGACTTGAAATGGCCCCATGGCACAAGGGCGAATGAGGGGACTTGGAGGGCTTGGTCCTCCCTGCTTTTGAGAAAGAAAAGCCAGGCAGAAAGAAAAAGAAGGAGGGAGGGAGAGAGAAGAAATGGAGAGCGGAGAGAATAGCGAACAAACTTAATGGTAAAATTCCAAGGCAAATTAAGTTAAATAAATTTACGAGGATCAAACCCATTAATTGGGCCATAAAAAGTTTTATGAGCCTCATTTACATACAATGCTATGGGCTCCACGCAATGGCGCCTCGGCTCTAATTAAAACCAGAAAGGCAGCGCCGCCGGGAGTCACGGGGCCGCCCGCTCGCAGCTGCCTGGCCCCGCTCTCCCAGGCCCCGCGCTCTGCGATCCCGGCGCCCGCTCCGCCAGCCCGCCCGGCCCGCCTAGCGGCTGCGCCTACCTGAAGACCGCATCCAGGGGTAGATGCGGAAACTGGCCTCGGCCGGGCCGTGCAGAGCGCCCTCGTCCGCCTTGTCGCAGGCGCCTTTGGCCAGGTCACTGCAGAGCCCGGGGATGTTTTGGTCGTAGGAGGCGCAGGGCAGGTTGCCGTAGGCATCGGCGCCCAGGCCGTAGCCCGAGGCAAAGGGGCTCTGGTAAAGGGGGCTGTTGACATTGTATAAGCCCGGTACGGTCGAGGCGAAGGCGCCGGCCCCCGCCCCATAGCCGCTTCTCTGCGAGTTGGGCGCAAAGGAGCAAGAAGTCGGCTCGGCATTTTGGAACAGAGAAGCCCCCGCCGTATATTTGCTAAAAAGCGCGTTCACATAATACGAAGAACTCATAATTTTGACCTGTGATTTGTTGTCCGGCAGCTTTCAGTGTCGGTTTTACGAGGTAGCGTGATATATGATAACATTACACCCCCAGATTTACACCAAACCCCATTTTCTTTTGGACGGAGCTCGCCGCAGCACGTGACCGCCCACATGACCGCCTCGGCCAATCTCAGCAGCCCTCACAGGTGGTCTAGCTCCGCGGGGCCCGCGGCCGCCTAGAATGGAAGGGGAAGAGGCTCAAATATGCGACCAACGAGTCGGCCCGTACCCGGCAGGGCTGGCGAAGCAGGTTTTCCAAAACTCACTACCTTGGGATAAGTTTCATGAACTCAATGTCGACATCTTGTTCTTAACATAAACAATATTTGTGGTTAGAACTGCTGATTTGTTAATTAATGCATAACTTATGTTTCTGAATAAGCCATTTAGATATTGTTAAGAATAGCTGAAGCATGAAGCTCATGCTCCAGTGACAAATAAATGCTTTTGGTTCCCATAATGTAATCAGTAACCAATGACTGTGTTTTTTGTGTTCTGTAAGAAAAGTGCAATGACACTTTTCCCCATCCCTTTAGAAAACTCCTTTTGGAATTCTCTTATAAAATGCCTTTGCTGGTAGTGGACTTTCCAGCACTTTCCAACTCTGTTGGCTTGTGTTTCCTGGGTTGATCCTTAATTAAGGTTGGCTTTCAATAAAACTTTATAAAATTATTTCTGCCTTAGGGCTGGCCCGTGGCTCACTTGGGAAAGCATGGTGCTGACAACGCCAAGTCAAGGGTTAAGAAGCCCTTACCGGTCATCTTTAAAAAAAAAAAAAAATTATTTCTGCCTCAACAGCCTTGATTTTGGTTCACAAAGTCACCAGCAGANAGAACTGTTTTTTTTTTTTTTTTCTTTACATTTTATTTTTATTTCCCCCAATTTTTGTAAATAAAACCAGTGAGTCTCTTAAAGAAGCTTTTGTGACTGTCCGGTACAGCCAGGGCTCCGGCTCGGCCCCTCATTCCTCTTCCTCCTCCTCCTCCTCTTCGTCTTCATCCTCCTCGTCGGCCTTGGCGGCGACGGCAGCGGCTGCAGCGACAGGCACGGCGCCCTCGGGGGCTGAGGCGGCGGCCGGACTCTCGTCCTTATGCTCTTTCTTCCACTTCATGCGGCGGTTCTGGAACCAGATCTTGATCTGGCGCTCGGTGAGGCAGAGCGCGTGGGCGATCTCGATGCGGCGGCGCCGCGTCAGGTAGCGGTTGAAGTGGAACTCCTTCTCCAGCTCCAGGGTCTGGTAGCGCGTGTAGGTCTGGCGGCCTCGCTTCCTGTCGGGTCCTGAGAGCAGACGGACATGCGGACAGACAGACAAGCAGACAGGGACGCCGACAGGACAGTGCGTTAGCCAGGCTGCTGTCCCAGAGCCTGCACCTTCCTCCCCTCCCGGAGCCAGGAGCACGTCCCCCTCCGCCCCACGCCTGGAACTGCGCTGGGGAGGAGGGGAGTGTTAGCGGAGGACCCCAAGTGCGGTGCCAGACAGGCAGGCTGCTCTCTACGGAGCGAAGGCACAGAATCCCAATTTTACAACCTCCCTTTCCAGCCGGCTACGCTTCCACAATGTCCTGTTTCCCCCGACAAAGGGAAATTGTAAATATAGAGAGTGGGCAAGTGGGAGACGCTGCACTTTTGCCATTCAGAGGCGAGCCGGACTGCTTCCCCGCCTTTCCAGGGAGTGGGCGACCCTCCCCAGCAGCCTGCGCCCCCATGCCCAGGACTTTCCTAGGGCATTCCGACCCTCTGTCCCAGTTCCTTCCCGGCCGACGACTTGAAATGGCCCCATGGCACAAGGGCGAATGAGGGGACTTGGAGGGCTTGGTCCTCCCTGCTTTTGAGAAAGAAAAGCCAGGCAGAAAGAAAAAGAAGGAGGGAGGGAGAGAGAAGAAATGGAGAGCGGAGAGAATAGCGAACAAACTTAATGGTAAAATTCCAAGGCAAATTAAGTTAAATAAATTTACGAGGATCAAACCCATTAATTGGGCCATAAAAAGTTTTATGAGCCTCATTTACATACAATGCTATGGGCTCCACGCAATGGCGCCTCGGCTCTAATTAAAACCAGAAAGGCAGCGCCGCCGGGAGTCACGGGGCCGCCCGCTCGCAGCTGCCTGGCCCCGCTCTCCCAGGCCCCGCGCTCTGCGATCCCGGCGCCCGCTCCGCCAGCCCGCCCGGCCCGCCTAGCGGCTGCGCCTACCTGAAGACCGCATCCAGGGGTAGATGCGGAAACTGGCCTCGGCCGGGCCGTGCAGAGCGCCCTCGTCCGCCTTGTCGCAGGCGCCTTTGGCCAGGTCACTGCAGAGCCCGGGGATGTTTTGGTCGTAGGAGGCGCAGGGCAGGTTGCCGTAGGCATCGGCGCCCAGGCCGTAGCCCGAGGCAAAGGGGCTCTGGTAAAGGGGGCTGTTGACATTGTATAAGCCCGGTACGGTCGAGGCGAAGGCGCCGGCCCCCGCCCCATAGCCGCTTCTCTGCGAGTTGGGCGCAAAGGAGCAAGAAGTCGGCTCGGCATTTTGGAACAGAGAAGCCCCCGCCGTATATTTGCTAAAAAGCGCGTTCACATAATACGAAGAACTCATAATTTTGACCTGTGATTTGTTGTCCGGCAGCTTTCAGTGTCGGTTTTACGAGGTAGCGTGATATATGATAACATTACACCCCCAGATTTACACCAAACCCCATTTTCTTTTGGACGGAGCTCGCCGCAGCACGTGACCGCCCACATGACCGCCTCGGCCAATCTCAGCAGCCCTCACAGGTGGTCTAGCTCCGCGGGGCCCGCGGCCGCCTAGAATGGAAGGGGAAGAGGCTCAAATATGCGACCAACGAGTCGGCCCGTACCCGGCAGGGCTGGCGCATTCTGCGGAAAAGCACCCGGAGGCTCTGCCGGGGCGCCCAGCCGGCCGCCAACCCAGGCGCTGGGGTCTGCGGACGCCGCGCCGGGTCGGTCCAGCGCAGCCCACTCATGCCTATTAGTGAACCCCAGACCAAGCTTGTGGATCCTCCCTGTCGCTCTCCTGTCCGCTGACCCAGCCCCGGGAACCTGCACCCCGCGCACCCGCCCGCCCCACGGTGGCCTGTGGGCAGGTCTCGGCATTGGACAAATCGACTCTTTGCCCACGTCTCCCACCAGCCCAGGTCCAGCGGGCTACAGGCCGGACTTAGACTCTGATCCAGACAGGGCAGGCGCAGTGTCCCTTGCAGCTGCAGCGAGAACGCCACCGCAAACTGGAACCATGTGGTTCGAATAAAGTCAACGTTTCCCAGCTTCCTTTCCTTAATCGGCGGCCTACTGTTTATCAGCCCTAAAGGAAGCAGTGAAATATTTATCTATTAATGAGCCTCATTTGCCAACAGATTTATTAACGTGGGTTTCCCTTCCCTTCTCACAGACACCGCGGCCCTGCAGGCTGTGTGTGTTCACTCGTGGGCACCTGGCTGGCGTCCGGCAGCCCAATACATGGCTGAACATTCCTTTGTCCTCTACACAACCCTTGGTTCCTCCTGGCTCATGGGGAGACGAGTCTCTTTCCTGCAGCTTGTAGAAACCTTGGGCCCTGCACCTTTCCAAGCACCCCCATCACCGTGAGGTTTCTGGCAGCCTTCACACCCACCGCCCCTGGGCCTCCACCTCGTGAGCCTGGGTGCCTGGGAGCAATACACGCTTTAGAGCCGATTTGGAAAGGAGAGAGGGGACCCAGGTGCCTGGGAATTGCAGCCCACTATGGACCTCCATTTTTTTTGGAGACACCAAAAACAAATAGGGAGACCCCTCCCCAAAGACCGCCCAGCTGTTGCAGCTTTACCTTTCCAAGTACCGGCTCACAGAGAGCTGAGCGCACAGTAGTCTCACTCCCTCCCATCCAGGCCCCCAACTTGTGGCACCTACCTTCCCAGGCCTCCAGCCCCTGCACAATGTTGGACCAAGCACCCGCCACCCACCGCTCAGTGGAGGCTGGGGGGCGAACCCTGCCCCTACACGCCTCATAAACTGCCCAGGCCATGCTGGAAGCCCAGCCACCTTTTACTGCCCAGCTAGATTGCACACCATAAACCCGACCTCACAATGGAATTGCCCCGGAAATTCTCCTCTAAATTATAGAGTTTGGTTCCTTGTGTACAAAGCACTTCCCATCACTTTCAGAGGGTACAGCCGCCCTTGTTCACTGCAGCCTCTCAGGGGGACCCAGGGCACAAAAGGCAGAGGGAGGGATCAGATCAGGATTCAAGGGAGCCCCAGCTTCTGCCTAGTGAACCGCCTGGGCTTGGGTGGGGAGGCAGGGGCTGCCACCTCAGGTGGGTACTGGGCAGTCTCCCCCCAGGGTATAGAGATCATGGGGGGCAATATCCTGAGATGCCCTTTATGGCGGATAGGGATGATACTTTGTCTCGGATGGGGAATTGAGGGGGTAAAAACCCCAAATATTCCAAATAGCATCGCCTTCTGGCAGGAAATACAAACCTAAGAAAGTTAAAGGAAGACGAAGTAAACAAGGAGAAGGCTAGGAGATCAAAGAGGCGGAATTAGACGGCTTTAGACCAATAAATTGTTTCTAGGGTGACAGAGCAAGACGCAAAGAGAAAGACCCCGGCCCTGCCGCCGCTGTCTGTCTAGACTCAGGCGGCTGGAGTGTCCCACAGCGATGGTGTTTAAAGTAGAACCTGCCCTAAGCAAGGCGACCCGACAGCCCGAGAGGAGGAGAGGAGAGCAATTTCGGGGAGCGTGGGGAAGGAACGCACTTCCCCGCCAAGGGAGGGCTGAGCGCCCGCGCGGCAGGCTCATCCCTGCCCGGATTTTGCCCGCGCGCGTCCAAGCGTTTCTGGCAGGACGCGCTGCTTCTCGGCCCCGGCCAAGGAAGATCCGGATACTGCCCGTAATGCCTCGGACCTTCTGGGCCTAGTCAGCCAACTGGGCCGCCTCCTGCGGGCACCGAAACCTCCCTTTCGTTTCTGTGCTTCTCTGTCCCCTCCTGCCTTCTGGGGTAGGATTTTAAAACGAAAAGGCCTGACAAAATCAGGCTTTTCATAAGGCCTCTTTAATCGCGTGTTGTCGAGCCACTGGTGCCCTAATTTGACTGAAAAGACTCAAATGCGCCGGGTTATGTGTTATCGATAATAGTCACAGAAATGCTCGTTGGCGCTAGACTTGGAGCGGGCACAGGTAGGCAGGTTTCTCACCAGCCAGCTAATTTTAGATCTTTTCCCCTGCTCTCCTTGAGCTGGCTTCCCATCTTCCGGCACAGTGTATTTCCCCTGCTTCTTGTTACCAGGTAGTCCTGTATATTGAAATCCAGTTAAGAACGTAAGCCCAGCTCGCGCGGCGAGTGGCGCCCGCAGGAGAGCCTGGCGGCTGACCGTTTGCTTCTGCACTGTTCCCACCCGCGTCCCTCGCACGAGCGGCGCGTCTGTCTTCCACCCAGTGAGCTGTCCCAGCCTGGGTGCGGGGACAGATCCGTCCCCGACGCGTGCAAATGAGCTCGGGCGGCGCGGGCTCTTGCCTGGGCGAAGGTCCGCTGTGGGGAAGCCGCTCCCGGGCAGCCGAGAGGGAGCCGCCAGCCTGCCAAGGGCGAGGGAGGCCCCGCCGGGCAGTCCGCGAGAGCCCGGGCAGCCTGCACCTACCTGGGGCCTCGGTGATCGGTGGGGAGAAGCGGCCGCCACCCATCTGTGACTTCACCGTTTATTTGTAGTTACATAAATCGAGCTTTCTATCTGGGGCTTGGATACACAGCCCTGGGTGACTCTTGGGGAAGCTATTAAACCCTTCGTACGATCAAATGCTGTGAAATATGGTGTGTTATATACAGAAATATGACGAAGGCTTGTGTCTGTAACACCAACGTGTGTGTGCTTGTATAGACAGAGAAAAGCGGGGGAGAGTGGGGAAAGGGGGAAAAGGAGAGGAGAGGAGAGCAGACGCCCGCAGAGACATCCGCCGAAATCCAGCCCCCGGTTTTACAATGTGCACAGCACAGAGGTGCGGCTTGTAAACATTTTGTGGACTCGGTGGAGACTATTACGACCCAAATAAATGCGGTGTGCGGCGTGTTCACAGGGCTCCAGGGTGCTTCGAAGGGTTTTCTGTTTGCTTTTGCGTTTTCCCTCTGAACTCATTCTGCTCCCGTCGCTGGTCCTTGCACTTGGGCTCGAGGCCACCTCCGCAGAGGTTCCGGAATGTGGTCGGATCGGGGTCCCCTCCCCTCTGGCCTCCTGAACGGGGGACTCCAGAGTGGCTTCGGTACCTTTACAGCCCAGGAAAGACCGCGGCCAGAGAAAGTAAGGGCGGCTTCCACGACGTGAGCGCCAGCTCTGGAGCTCGGGTGCTATTATTAGAATGGTTATTTCAAACATCACATTTATTTTAGGATAACCAAAGCGGTTCCTTATCTGTCCTCCGGGATTCCCCATCCTGGCCAACTCGGCGGGCAGATTTACACTGGTCACTCGCCAAGAATGTCGTTATGCCCAATTTTCACCCGCCTAATTTTATTGTCACGAGTTCAAGTCGGCCGGGTCCCGGGGTCCTGGCGCTCTCTCCAGGTGCTGGTTTGCCGGGTTCTGAACCAGGGCGCAGGATTTGCGGGTCTCTGGGTCTCCAGGGACCCGAAGCTACCATATGCGCCCTCTGCACGCCCTCTGGGGGGTCCTCCGCGTGTTGGTTCGCTGGTCAGCAGGGGTCCCCGCACCTCCCCGCCCCGAAGCCTGTCCCGGGCTGAGGACGGTGACCCTGGAGCCGTACCCGTTCGTGGAGCTGCAGCCCCGCAGCCACCAGGAAAGCCGCAGCCCCACCGCGCTGGGCCCTCTTGACAGCGCCAGGGAGGAGCGAACGGTGAGGGTCACGCAAGTCCCCGCCGCTTGCTTGTTTAGCCTCTAGGCTTCTAGCCCGGCATGAGCAGCGCGGAAAATACACGACTGCTTTCACACTCAACTGCGGCTCCCATTCCAGAAAGGTTCGTGTCAAGTCGACATCTTAGGAACTTCCCAGGGTCGTGGCGGCGGGAGATGGCGGCGCGGGCGGCTCTTGCGTGGAGCCACACTGCCATCTGCTGGCCTCCTCTTGGCACTGCAGCCTCAGCAGCCCCAGTCTGTCGGGACTTTGGCAGCCACCACCAGGCTGGGTGGAGGGCGGAGGGACAGCGCTTCGCACACGCGGGGGTTGGGGAGGCGAAAACTCAGTCCCCTGGGGTCCGCGTGGAGCCCGGAATCTACACCGTGGAGGGGGCAATGTCCATAAAAGAGCTGTTTCCGCAGCCGCTTTATCGGCTGCAGACAGAGCTAACAAATGAAAGGGCTTTGGTGGAATATCCTAATTGGGGCTGGACAGTTGTAAATTCATTAAGGATCGAATTCCAGACAGTTCGCAGACCCGGCCTTTATGGCACACCCTTACTGCCCATTCTTTGAAGTTCCTTCTGTCTGCAACAACAGAGGGCGTCCCAACCTGGTGGCGGGGGTGGGATGGGGGGCTGTCCCATCTACTCGCGCCCTGGTTCTCCCTTTACGCGTTAGAACCCAGCCAACTTTGTAGAAGTGGGGGGGGGGAGGCAAGAGAAGAAAAGGGGGGAGAAGCGAGGCTGAACCTCAGCCTACATCTGGAAGGTGCTCGTCCTCCGAAGTTGTGGTCACCCCCCAACCCCCCAGCTCTTTACACCCCATAAACGGTAACAGCCCTCATTTTCTTTTATGGGGCTTCAGGGCTCATCGCTTGCCTTGGCCTGGCCTCTGCCAGGACTTGTGCTCGGGAAAGGTTTCTGGTGCAAGACCCGGATTCTCCTGGGCCAGGCTGGCAGGACGTGGGAGGGGGCAGGGGTGCAGGTCTTCGGTCCCCTGCAATCCCTCAAATGTTTGCCCGGGCGGGCACGTTGGCCTGGTTGGGCCCCTGTTTTCCTCTGCAGAGCCTCCTGAAGACGTGCCCACTCCACCACTTCCCGCACCCTGCCAGGGAAGGCCCCAGGCGTCTCTCTGGGCTTGGGTTTGGGAAATTTCTTGGGACACCAGGGTGAGAGAGTGGCCTCCCCACTGCTACTGACGAGCGATACCAGGGACCCCAGCTCAGCTACTTAAAGGCTTCCCCCAGTCCAGCAAGATAGACACAAGGCTGGGGTCCTGGCCTCACCGCCCAGTTTCCCAGCCTGCTTTCCTCCGCTGCTTGCGCGGCCAGGCAGCTGGCCTTGTTAAAAGAGCTTAGGCCCATCCAGGCTGACTGCGGCAGGTCCTGGCTCCCAAAAGCCCGCCAGAGGCAAAATTAGGGTTCTTTCCTCCCACCCCAGTACGGCCCCCAACTGGAGAGTCTACCCAGGCTCCCCTGCCCCAAAGAAGAAGGTGCAAAGAGCAGACCCGCAAAAAATAAAAAAGAATCAATATATTTTATTTGGCAAAAAGTTAAATATCATCTCAACACAACAATTTGGTCAGTAGGCCTTGAGGTAACTATTGCAAAATATACAGTGTATGTTTAGCCCGATGAAAACCCCCGATTTATCAAGGATACAAATCTACAGTAGCCCAATGGCGGTTTCATAGTGTATAATTTATTATCAATAAAATTAACTCCGTTACAATAAGCATTCATTTTTCCCCCGGTTTAAATTAAGCGTAAACCATAGGTAGTAACCTTCTGCACATATGTATAGCTCCGAATTTCCTCACTGTTTGGTGCAAAAACAATATTCAAGCTTGTTTGATTATGTACTTTTTCTCTAATATATAGATTACATATACAATGAACAAGACAGAACTATAGAGCATGTAGAGATTAAAATGCCCATATTTCAAAAGTGGAGAAAACCATGAATCTATGCTTCCTGGAGAACCTTTTTCTTTTCTTTTTAAAAATTTTATTTCACTAGGAAATTCTTACAGCTAGTTTACAATCATAGGATAACAGCCTAGTTATACAGAAGACATATTCCACTACAGAGCTATACTCTATGCAACTCTCCCCCCTCCCCATAAACAACCTGAGTTCAAATTGAATTCTAGCTTTCACAATCACAACGGGTGCATTACCCAGTACACAGAAATTTGAGTCACAAAACATAATTACCACAATAAAACACAGTGTTCAAGTATCTCAGCAGAGCGATCTGCCCCACAAAGAGCAAATTAAATTAACTACACAGACTAAAATCTATACAGCCTGCCAACAATTGTGCATTATAAAAAGGTAGTCCCCCCCCCTTTTGTTTTAAATCAGGAACAGGTAGATTTTTAAAAATATATATGTACAAGCTAGCACACACAGCCGTTAGAGCTAATGCCCCCTACTTTTTCTTTTCTTTTCTTTTTGTCTTACAGAAAATGGAAAACTTACAATACCTCCTCCATCAAAGCGGCAGGCCTAGGAGCCAGCCTGAGCAGGGTCTGCCAGGGGGGAGATGAGGCCTGGTGATTAGAGCCGCTTTGTGCGGGGTGGTGGAGGCTGAGGCTGGGGTGAAAGAAGGGAGAAGGGGACAGGCGGCCCTTTCTCTTTCTCTCTAGCTGGCTCTCGTTTCTAAATGAACCCAGATGGCGTCACTCGTCTTTTGCTCGGTCCTTGTTGATTTTCTTCATTTTCATCCTGCGGTTCTGGAACCAGATTTTGACCTGCCTCTCGGTGAGGTTGAGCAGTCGGGCCACCTCATACCTGCGGTCCCTGGTGAGGTACATGTTGAACAGAAACTCTTTCTCCAGTTCCAGCGTCTGGTGTTTCGTATAGGGGCAGCGCTTCTTCCGCGTGGAGCGCGCGTGAAGCCAGTTGGCCGCCGGGTTATCTGCGGAGGAGAGAGACACTGGGTTGAGAAGGAGAAGCACCCCCGGCGGGAGGCTGGGGAGCCTCCTAGGGTCTCTGGCCGAAGTGCAGGAAGCTGCTGAATTGGTTAGGGAGGCAGCCCAGCCTCAGACACAATGGAACCCGGGCAGACAGACGCACAGACGGTCACTCACAATTCCACGTAGTAAAACCTCAGCTCCCCCCTCCCCACCGTGGCCCTTCTTTCTCCTCTTCGGTCTTGTCCCCTTCCCTCCTTTCTCCCACTTTCTTTACATTGTGTAAAGAGTGAAATTTAAAAACAGATTTCCTTCTTGCCACGCAGAGGGAAACCACGCTGCCCTATATTCGTGTACAAGATTAACACTTTTCTCCCTCTCACTGACTCGGTCTTCCCGTCCCCACCTTTCCTTCTATTCTCCCCACTCCGTATTTGACCTTCCTGGAAGGCCGCGGGAACTGGGCAGGCCGGGAGGGCGCCCCAAGGCCGTTGATCACGTCTCCATCTTATTTGAATAATCTAGCATGGGGACCCTCGTGGTCAGTCGCCCGCAGCCTCATCTTGGGCAGGATTTATGCCGCCACCGGCTGAAGGCAAGAAGTGGATGGAATCTGCCTCCCCCCCACACCTCCCAGCATCCTGGATCAGGCTGCCCCGCTGCTTGCCGTTGCTGCAGCCGCTCGCGGACAATCTCGCAGCACAAAAGACTCCCTCCGCTGCGCTGCTTTCGAAGAACGGCCCGAAGTATCTCAGTCCTGGGCCCGGGCAGCAAAGGAGAGGGGCGGCCGGTCTTGGCTCGGCCCAAAGCGCCCGCCCCGCCCCCTCTCGCTGCAGCAGCCTCCTCCTCTACCCCCAGCCCCGAGGCCAGCTCGTCCCTGCTGTCTGGACTTGGGGCCCCATCCGAGGCGTCCCAAACACCAACTTCTGGCTCTCTGCCCCAGCTCAGGAGGCTCCCAGTGAGGGCGAAGGCAGGCTGGAGAGAAAGCTGTCGAACCGGCAGATCCAGGTGGCCGGCGTGGAGGCGGCGGCGGGTTTGGAGGGAGGAGACACTTACTGGGGTCGATGGGGGGCTTGTCTCCGCTGCTCTCACTCTCAGCATTGTTTTCCGAGAAGGCGCCTTCGCTGGGTTGTTTTTCTCTATCAACTGGAGGAGAACCACAAGCATAGTCAGTCAGGGACAAAGTGTGAGTGTCAAGCGTGGGACAGTCACCCCTTCTGGCCGACAGCGGTTCAGGTTTAATGCCGTAAGGCCGGCTGGAGGGCAAGCCCGCGAAGGAGAGCGCGCCGGGCGTGGGCTCCAGCCAGGAGCGCATGTACCTGCCGTCCGGGGCCGCCGCCGCCACGGGCGCCTGGGGGTGCACGTAGGGGTGGTGGTGATGGTGGTGGTACACCGCAGTGGGCACGGCGTTGGCGCCCGCCGCGTGCACCGGGTTCCACGAGGCGCCAAACACCGCCGCCTTGGACTGGAAGCTGCACGGGCTGAAGTCGGGGTGCTCGGCCAGTGCCGCCGCCTGCCGGGGGGGCTGGCCCAGGGTCCCCGGTGCGTAGCGGCCCGCGCTCAGCTCATCGCCGGCGTCGGCGCCCAGCAGGAAAGAGTCCACGTAGTAGTTGCCCAGGGCCCCGGTGGTGGCCATTGCCGTGCCCCGTGCCTGGCCGGCCCGGCCCGCGGAAATTATGAAACTGCAGATTTCATGTAACAACTTGGTGGCACCAGGGGGGGAAGTACAGTCACCTAATAAGTTGCCGGCGCCCGCGCCCCCATTGGCCGCACGCGTCACGTGTCCGCCCGGCAGAACAATAACGCGTAAATCACTCCGCACGCTATTAATGGTCCGGTGTTTTGCAGTCATAATTTTTATAGCAAAAGCCATATGTTTTTATGCAAAGGGATCGCGCTGCTCCACGATCGGGTTTGTTTTAATTGTGGCCAACGAAGATTAAAAGATCAAATCTGGCCTTGCCTCCATACTCTCCCCTGGCCCCCTCCCACCACACACACTTCTTCAGCGGACTATTTTATATCACAATTAATCACACCATCAGAAGGCGCGGATCCCGCGTGCGAGCGCGGCCAGCCGAGCCCCTCACATAAAATTAGATAATAATTGAAGCCATAAAAAAGCAGCCAAATCGCATTCTCGCTCTACTGTATTTAAATCTATATTTATGATATTTCATAAGGAGTTATTGTTTCAGAAGCCACAAAGGCTGGTGGGAAGTCGGGAACAACCAACAGATTCGTTTGCTTCGCCATGGCTCCCAGCTGTAAAAATTTATGAGGACTTGGAAAGGTTAAATTAGATTGTTGTGTTTGGTTGGCGAGTTCCCTGTAAATAATCCCTGCGGTCCCCGGAAGATGTGAGTTTACCCCTGGCCTGCCGTGAAAAGTCAAATTCAACGCTGTATCCGTCCCAAACGGAGCCGCCACCCTCCTTGCGAGAGCGCGTCGGGGCAGGGACTGGCCGCCGACGAGGCATCGCCTGCTGTGACCCCCCCCCCAAGCCTGCTCGACTGGAGCACCGAAACCCCGGGCACCCCCCAAATTCTCCTCTGCTTCTCCAACGAAGGCCCCACCGAGGAGAGGGAGCAGCCAGCCACCCCCTAGGCGAAGGGTTTGAAGGCCTGGCTGTGCCACGCGCTTGGCTCCGGGCTCGCGACCCCGCACACACGCGCACCTAGCCCGCCTTGCTCGTGGTCAGCAGGGAATCACGATCCCTGGGGGGAGACGGCTGGCGTCCCGGACCTGTGCTTTATTGTTGAAGGCCCTAAAGCACTGAGCTCCGCAAAGCCTCCAAGCTCTCCCAGAACCAAGCTGGGAAAAAACGCCAGACTACATCAATGGAAGGCGAGTTCGGCTGGCCACAAGGCAGCCCTGCCTAAGGAACCCCGCGCCTGTAGGGGCTGGGAAGCCCGCACCATAGTGGCCGGTTCCTGGGCCCAGTAGAGCCTTCAGGGCTCCTTTTTTCATTTCTGGTCACCGCCCCAGGCCCCGCCTTGGTTACCCATGGGACAAAGTGACTCTGCAGAGTTACTCACAGCTCAAGTCCAGGGCTAGAAATTAAAACGAGGAGGGGCAAGGGGCATTGACTTTAATCCCATCCCTTGGCCTAACCAAATTGGACATGTTATTTCTCACCCCTTAGAGTCTTTGAAGCGGGGGTAAATTAAAAGGCAGCAGCCATTCTGTTAATTGGAAGAAAAAACCCACCCCAATTCCGAACAGAAAGCAGCGATTCCTAGAAACGAGGTAATTAAATTCACGTGTGAATACTGTGCTTGCAAGAGTGTGTTTCTCATTAGCCCACTCCCCTGGCGGCGAGGCCAGAGGCCCCGGGCACTTCCATCTCTCTCTTTTCCCTTCATCCTCACCAACAGTTCCAGTAATCCCCTCCCAAACACCCTGACACATTCTTATCCCGGGAGAGGACCCCCAAATGCCAAGCTTTTCCCCAGAGGAAGGCTGAGAAACGCGCGGATACCGGCCTGGTGCCCCTTCCTCCGCCTGCGCCGGGAAGAGAGAAGTGGCCGACACAATGAACTCCGACGTGGCCCATCCTGGCCGCCTCAGTCCCCTCCCCCCTTAATATTTTCCTTTCCCTGTAAATTCCTCCGCGTCATTCCCACCCCCACCGCAGCCCAAGGTGTCCTAAATATCCGGCAGTCCGCGGGGCCTCTGAGCGTTTCATTTAAAAAATTAATCCTGGAGGAAACCTTTGCTCCTAATTGTAATTGTCTGCAAACCGGCTGGGCACATCGCGCTCCCTTTTCCACTTTTTATACCCTAGGACGAAATGGATTATTATTAGTAATTTTTTTTAAATAGAAAGACTGTTCCTTTAAATAGTCTTAGCCTCCAAATAGGACAACTACTAAATAATTAGCAGGCGTCGAGTGTTAAAGCAGCCTTTACTGGTGTCTGTAAGAGGAAAGGGGATCACAAAACCAAATATTTTCCCTCTTCAGCCCAGAGGTTTGGGGTCAGAATATTCAGAACTTTGTTTTTATTTTGGAAGTAAAAAAGACTGCATGTGCATATAGAAATTATAAATGTGTGGAATTACAATTTGCCCCTTCTCAACTGAGAGTTCTTCTAAAACCTTGATCTCTGAAACAAGTCCAATACCTTGATCTAGAAAATGGCAGAAAGGAGTTGAAGGGAACCGGGTGTGCCTGCCTTTCAGATAACAGGTCGGTGAGCTGAGCAATGAAAACAGTTCCTGGACCCCCACCCCAAGCTGGGAAAGGAAGCACAGCTCTGTGGGTATGAGTCTGAAGGCATAATTGTGTGTGTGCTGGGGGGTAGAGAGGGATGTTTTCTTTTCAGTTTTCAGTAGCGAGAATGGTCAGACTGGATTCCATAGGTTAGACTACAACTTGAAACAAGGACTCAAATTTGTATCTCAGTGGCTCTGGAATTTGGGATTCCTTTCACCTATTTGAAACAGACTGGCGCTGGAAGGGTCCCTTTCTCCAGTACCCACTTTTACAATTGTGCAGTATCTAACATATTTTGAACCTGACAGAAGCCACTAGCAAGCAGGCAGTCAAGCTTTTCTCTAGCGGGACTCCATTGCAGTCAAAGCCTGAGCTAGGACCCGCAAGCCCGGAAGAGCCAGTAAGCAGCTTCCCTGCGGAGCTCCCTGAGTGGCCAGGCTCCACCGAGCCTGGCTGGGCTTCAGACATGGTCCCAGCCTCGAGTCCCCACTGAAGCTGGCGAAGCCCTCGCTGCCCTCGGTGTGGGCACAAAAGAACGCCATAGATGCCCCCTCATCGGATCTCCCAGTCAGCTGTTAGCGACCCGCGGAGAAGGAAACCAAGGCCGCCGCCATACGGTCGTGATCATAACCGAGGCCTTGTCTGCACGGCGGCACAACAGGCCAAAACCCACGTTGCTCGACAGCCGCCCCACGCGGGTCCTTCCACGGCGTACTCTGACCTCTACTTGAGAGCACAGAGGAAAATGAGATCCCTAGGCTATCCTGAAGCCAGCCCTGGACTTCTTCTGAAGGATGATTTGGAAAGAAGAGAAGGGGGAGAGAGAGAGAATGGGACAGAGATGGAAGATGAAAGAAAAATAAAAGAGAAAGAAAGGAAGGAAGGAAGGAGAAAAGAAAAAAAGAAAAGCGATGAAAGAAGAAGGAAGGAGGGGGGGGGGAAGGAAGAAAAAAGGTAACTCCTGGGAGCAGAGGCCGCGCTTACAGAGAGGAGGGTAAGTGACAAGGCTGTGCACCCTGTTTCTCCTTCTTCAGCCTGGGTCTCCACTGGCAAAGCGATCTTTCCTGAGCTCACACCCCAGACTGGGGTGTGTGTGTTTGTGTTCCAGCCTTACAAGAGAATGGCGGGGTCCCAGGCCAGGCGCTAGGCCTAGAGTGGGGGAAGCTCAGGATGGAAGTATGCGCCCCTGACCTTGAATGGCCCGGGGCCCAGAATTCCTACCACGCCCCCAGCATCTGCGAGTTAGCAGCTAACCTGACCACCGTACCTGCTCCGGGCCAGGTTTGGGGTGCGGGGGAAGCCGCCAGCTGGCACAGCGCTAAGGAGGAAAACACAAGGCTTCTGCGCAGGGAAAGCCGAGGTTGCCACCGCAGGCCTGGCACGACCAGGGCCTTGACGCCCCGTCCGGCCCAGCCCCCGCGCGCACAGGTACCTGGAGACGATTTCAACTGAAGTAATGAAGGCAGTGTCGTGCTGTCGAGAGAAAGGTGGATCCCAACAACAGGAAACTACCTAAATCACCGACCAGTTCTGGTGCTGCCCGCGCGGGGCTGCCTCGCCCGTTGCCGCCGCCGCCGCCACCACCGCCAAGGAGAGAACCCAGAGATCGCGCCTGGCCCAGCCCCTCGGCAACCTCCGCCCGCTTTTGCCACTGAGCACCCCAGGCTGCTGCAAATGCGTCACGGAGGAAGAAGCCACCGGCCCCAGTGAGGTAAGCCTGGTAGAGAGAGAGAGGGGGAGGAAGGGAAGGAAGGCACAAGAGAGAGGAAAAAGGAAGGAGGGGGGCAGGCTAGAAGAGAGCAGAGAATGAGCAGTGTGCATGCTGGTTTCCCAAGTCTTGCAGCTCAGTGAGCGGGCGCCAAGAGGCGGCAGCCATGGAAGAAACTCAGGGCCAGGGAGAGCACAGAGACGGGCTCCCTGTCTGGCCGCGGCCTCCCGCGCTCGCTCCCCACCGCTCT